CCGCGTAGTAAATGTACTGGACTCTGCTGCACTCTTATAGAGCTCAAAATAGGGACACCATGTTGGTACCTATCCAAGGGGCATTAACATGGCGGCCATGAAGTAACGTAATTATTTCTTGTCATTTTTGGCCTCTAGGGTAACTAGTTATCCACCGTGGATAAAAGCACATAGCGATCATTGCTTCGATCGCAGTTGGAAATTTTGAGTGAACCAGACACAAGTTCTTTTAAATGAACCAGTTCTGATATCAAGAAAGTATATCCGACATAAGTTGTCTTTATTTCCTTTATGTACCACAGTAGTATTAACGTGGAAATTGTGTAATTGAGAACATATATTATAATAAAAATGACTTTTTAGACAAGCACTGAAACATGTTCCTGTTTTTTAAAATTAAATTGGTCGGTTACCATACTATTGTTTGGATTTTGCCGCCTTCGTATAAACGCCTCACTCGAATAATGAAAAAATTAATAAAAAGTTTGGCGTTTAATCGATTAAATGAGATAATTCCCTGTGCAAAGCGATCCAATGAGAAATCTTCAAGCGCCAGACCGCTAAAAGGCCCTACGTAGGCTTGTGTTGCTAAAGGCCTTTACTTTAAAAAATTTCATCGAACAAAAAATATTTAGGTGTTCGCGTTCGACTCCAAGAATTTCGCGCAGCGCGTGAACACGAATCACTGTTTTGTTTCTCTAGCGCGAAGAACTTCGCCGAAACGCAGGGGCTGCTCGTAGTTTAGCAATAACTATGATGAATGCTTCTGGCGCCTCAGTCTGCTCTGGTTGTTTTAAAACCGAAATTAATATTTCTGCAGTTCATCAACCGTGATCAGACTCGAAAGTTGACCATGTGGGTCATGCAGTCCACTGTTTCTTACTTATAATAATCATCATTATTAACCAATGAAATTACACAAGTCTTCAGAAAAGTAAGTATTGATTGAATACCTGCCTTGTCTTAGTCCTTGATATCTTATATTCAACATTGCTTGGCCTAGCCTTTATAGATATCATTCCTCACCTAAAAAGCCTATATCAAGTCCCTCTAGTGAGGAGGTCATTTTCTGGTAATTATCCTGTGTGGCAAAGTCTATTGGAATGATACACGTCTCAACCTTGAATTCCTTTTCCATAATACAAGGACATAGGTTTAGAACATAAGTTAGAAATGGTTGAAAAGTCAAAACCTCTTGAAAATACTTCCTAGACATTTCCGCATGTGTTCAAACAAATTCTTCTCATCAATTTAAAATAATAGTGCACATTTTTCTCCTCCACCCCTTCTCCCCACTTGAATATCCTTTAATTAATGGTAATGTTCAGTCATTGATGGATTTTCAGAAATTAGGGTAATTTGATTACTTTAACACAAAAAATTAGAAAACAAAATTTTGCCAATGTTCAATATACCAAAAAATTATTAAGCAAAACGCTTTATCTGTAAAAACTTCCTAATATTAATTTACAAGCTAGGACTAGAAAACTTAAAATCTATTTTTTTCACTAGCTTCCGCAACCTTATCCAACTTTTGGGTTGATCGACTCATCAGAACAACATTCATTCCACATTGTGCCAACTGTCTTGCAAAGAAATTTTACACACTTGTGATAGTTCGTCAAATCTTACTCACAAGCCAAGTTATCCACAATGCCAGAGTTAACAACGATTGTTTTCTAGACCAGTTACTGGAAGTATTTGACCAGTCACTGGAAGTATTCCTCCATTTTCCCCCTTCCCCCACATCCCTCACCCCAAAAGCCAGTAGCAAATGTGGTGCAAATGTGGCAAATACCACATTTGCTTTAGATTTACACGGGAGTGGCAAATCTGGTGCAAATGTGGCATTTACCTACAGCTTTGGACCAGATTTGCTCACATTTGCACTGTGCAAATATGGTGCAAATCCGTTTTTTCATCCAGTGTTATTACCTTACACTCAAATGATCTTCCTATTCCTTCAGATGCACCTGTAACAACTGCCAAATATAGAATTTAAGAAAAACAAATATTATGGTGGTAATTACACTGAAATCTGACAAAAAAATTGACTGTCAATAACACTGGTCAATCCCCCTCCTCTCATCTATTAGCTCTTTAACTTTTCTATCCCAATCTTTCCCTACAAACCGAGAAATACTACGAACTTCATCAAAATGTTAGAAATTTTTCTATACCTGCAAATAGGCCTTTTTTGTAAATTCTGATCCACTCTTGTTAATCAATTAAATAACAACGAATTCACTTCAGTGTCAGTGGCTATTGGCAAATAACCACCAATACCAAGATTAATAGTTGTTTTTGTATATAATAAAATAGTGAGATAATATAGCACAAGAGGATGCTTTTTATTCGTGCAATGATTGCAATATTTTCTGGAGCAAATTCTGGTAAGGTTCATAGAGTACAAGGCATAGGGTCAGTCACTGACCCATTATCTGACTTAATCCTTTAACCCCTAATAGTGACCAGCATCTCATTTCTCCTCACTGTATAACCACTGAATCACACATTAATGACATGAGAATAAAGGAAATGATCACCAACTAAAGAAACTCTTGATTATAAGACAAATAATTCTCCTTGTCAGCACCTTGGTAACTGAACAGAGAACAGTTAGGAGAATGTGAATATTGATGTTGGGGTGTAAAGGGCTAAACAGTCTGCTTATTACTGCTTTGCTTTCTCACTAGTTCTGATCTTTGGGATATGTTCCTTTCTTCTGATTGCCATGAAACTTTAACCAAAAGATGTCTAAATTCTAAACAAATATATATATGATGCCTCACCTACCCATCTACATCCACCAGCGGGTGGAAACCCCAGCAGAACTGCTCACCAACAGAAAGTCTTGCCCCAGTCGGTCACACACAGATGTACTTGGTGCGAAAATTATTCCTTTGTGTGACTTGAGCTAACAAATATATTATCATGCCTTTCACGATGTTGAAAGATAGAGTTAAAGATACTTTGGCTGTCCACAAAAGACCTACAGAAGGGGAGGACAATTAAACAAGAAAGAAAAGCTGAGTTCAATCAGCTAATATATTTTATTTCCCGTACAGTACAATCTCAAAAAGTGGATTTTTCAACTCATTCAGTCATGTGAAAAACTGCTTGTTCTGTCCAGATTCACGATTTCCCTACCGCGAAACTCCTACGTATCAGTTTCTGAGCTACATCCAAATATTAAGAAATCAAGATGCAAATTATAACCCTGGTATAAACCTACAGCTCTTATTCTCGCATTTGCGAATTAAACCTATATCCTGAAAAAGAATAGGAGTTAATTTTGACGAAAGATTTACCTAAAAGCGCTAATCCATTCTTAAGCCTGAGTTATCCAGGTATGATAAAATACACGCCAGATAGTCTTGACTGTGGGCCGCCATATTGAATATATTCGTACTCCAGATAAAAAAGTAAAAGTTGATAGGAACTGTGGACAAAGGATGGCGGATCTAGCTTTTCTTGGCTAAAATCTTGGTTGGGATAATCAATAGTTATCCATGAATACTGATTCAAAGCTTCATATTCTCCACCTGAATTACAGTAAGAGGAAGAGCGTACAAAGGATGAAGGTTTGCATCGATTACTATTTTGAATAGTTTTGTTATGAGATTATTTGTTGTAACATACAGTCAAACCTCCTGTAAGCGATTACCCGAAAAGTTAAGTCTGGATTTTCATATTTTGGAAAGTTTGCATATAGTGACCGGACCCTTTCACCAGCGCTCAGCGATACCTGCACTTGAATATTTTTCGCTAAAACCTTTCATGTAATTTCAGTAATTTAGTCTAACTTGGCTGGGAGCTAATATTGAACGGCATGTTTGCAATGTTAGTTCAGGCGTAAATCAGACAAACTGTGGCATTTATTGCATACTCCAGTTGATGTTCTTTGATACTGCTCCGACACAAATTTTCTGTTCAATGCAAGATTGACACATTTATGCATGTATAAGTCTAGTATTATTGAGATGAGAGAGTTTTTTGCATTTTTGTTTATCAATTCTTCCAATTTTACTTGCGCGGTAAAACTATTTCGGGAAATACTTCCCATGCCTTTACTTTTACGACATCTATTCAGTTTTCGATAGTAAAAGGTTTTTTCTGTTCAGTTTTCGCTCGAGAGAAGCCAATTTTCTGTCAAGTGGCCGCTTACGAGAGGTTCCATTTATAGTAATTTGACTTGGAAACTTTTGGTGTTGTGAAAAACCTTTTGCGGATGGTCGCTTACGAGAGGTAGTCGCAAAGGGAGGTTCGACTGTTTTCTTCTTCCTTTTGTCTCAAGTTTAGTTTGAATATTGTTGCCGTCATTTCTCTGATAAATAAGGCACTAAGCAAAGGAAATTTTTGGTCGATTTGTTGAACTGAGGGTCCTTTTTTACTATTTCTAGCTTATGTCTCTCCGTCTCACCAGTGTCCGAAAATCACGTAACATCAAGAATGGATTAGCCCGTGATGACTGATAACAGAGGTATTTTCTAAAATACGAAAACAAAACCGACGAATCGTCAGGTCAAAGATACTTGACATTTGTGATAAACTATCCGTCATTAAACAGAACCAGAATGGATATATTTCATCTGTTGACCCATGGTGTGTTAAGGACCCTCTTAGCATTATGGACTAATAAGTTAAGGTAGGGTTGCAGACATGATTTCTTACTTCCTTTTATTTTTTCTTTTCTTTTTCCCCTTATATTGGAGATGAAATTGCAACATGTAGAAAGTATGAGTGCCAGGCTTGATTTATCATTTCATTTCGCACAGAGGAATCCACCCGATGTCAAATGAAGTTCGTGCTATCTGCTAGCTATCTGCCTTTCAGGTAAATGAGAAATCCGACCTGGTAATTAGATATACAAAGTCAAATAAATGAAGTTCTTTTTTGAGTACATCTGGCGTTTTGTTTGGCTTTTTTCCCAAAGAAAGAATTCCGCTTGGCCTCATTTAGTGACAGACTCCTTACAATCTGTCAGTTGAATGATTCATTCAGTACCTGCGGAGCTTCAGTCAAGTTTTCTTCAACTGGTATGCGAGCTCAGGTTTGGTTAGTTTTCATCCCGTTCCTTGTAATTTTCTCATCATCAAAAGGAACTCCTGTTACCCGGTCACCCTCTAGAGTACCAAATCCGACCGGATCTTTAGATAAACGAGGTAAGACCAATTGCATTGCTGTCGTTTATATTTGCTTTCCTATAAGCTCAAAGCTTTTGTTTGGATGATAACTCAGTAATTCTCTATCCCAATGTTGAGTGGTTGAACAAGTGCTCGTGAGACAAAATTCTATTTGTCTAGACCCTTCACATCCGACAAGTTATCAGAGTGCGTAACCTGCGGTCGCGCGATTTCAATACACTGTCCCACAAAAAGACTGTGAAAATAGACAAAAAAAGCAAAAGATTGCATGTGGCTACTGATCTAGCACAATTTCTATGACATTGAAAAGAACCAGAGTTTGTATAATGATGCTATTCTTTGCTATTCCATGATGGAAGTGACGCAGGTGATTTGTGTCACATGCAAAACAGAAAACCTACCCTGCTCGCTTAGCAAACTTAGCGCGGGTTCTTTAGGACCGGCATCAGTCGCTGATGGAAATCGTAAATGCTCGGTAAAATTTCCGCACAGCCCCATACTATTGTAAAACAAATCTGTTTTCCTGATGGCAATGTATTGTTTTTGTCATTCTTTTCTCTCTCCAAGAACTGAATGCATAATGTAGTATGCGGCTGTGAGGAAATTTTACCAAATGCTCTCTCTTCGAAAAAATAAAATATTTCTTTAAAGTTTCCACGATGTGGAGATCGAACCTATTTGATATTTCTGCAAGGAAAAGTCTTGATTAATTACGTGCCGGAGATGCCACTGTGAAGTTATTCTGAGATGTTTATCATCCCCCTTAATGTCACGGTAAGAATAGAAAATCATATCTTCGGATCTCCGGGGGATAATTTGTTGATTCCAACGGTTACATGCTCTCTCCTTAAAGAAAAAAAAAATTCTTGTAAGTTTTCATGACGCGCCGATCACACCTCTAAAGATATTTCTGTGAAGAAAAGCTTCGTTTTTTCACGCGCTCTCCTGAAATGATTGTGAGATGTTATTGTCTTCTGCAGCACTCCAAAACAAACAGTAAGTAGCGTCGGAAATTGGTTGAAGATCGGATTTCTATTGTTACCACTGATCACTCGTTCACTCACTCGCTCATCTCGACAACGTATGTGGCTTCACCTTCACCAAACCGACCGAGACCTTTCAATATACACACTATTCATCTTGCCACCCGCCAGGTATTAAGAAAGGCTTTATTAAAGGAGAAGCTGTCAGACTTCTAAGAACAAACTCCTCGGAAAGAAATTTCCAGGAGGCCATGTGTAACTTCAAAACGACTTGAAGCACGTGGTTACCCAAAAAGCCTAATTGAAAAAACGTTATCTGAGGTCTCGTTTGCCGCAAGGCAGTCGACACTTAAAACAACAAAAAAACTAAAGGCAAAATATTGCCTTTTGTGACAGCATACCACCCAGGGGTGAAAAATTTAAAACAAATATTGATGCAAGAATGGAACCTCATCCAAAATCAGCCACTGCTGAAAAAAATTTACAAAACGCCTCCGATTATATCATACAAAAGAGGTAAATCGCTCAAAGACATACTCGTCAGAGCGAAGCTTTAATTAAAGGCTTTTGCGTCGCAAACGTAAAACCACACAGGGGAGTCTGTGTAGGCCTGTCTATGACCTTTTCAGAAAATGACTAATGGATCTTTCAATTTGTAGGGGTACACCAATTATCAGCTGCTTTTTGGCTCTTTGTCAGGCTGCTTCTCTCTAAGGCCCTGGTCGCACTGGAGCTCTTTTTGTTTGTTTTTTTAAGTGAAAAATCTGTCGACAATTAGTGAAAAATACTATTCCGCTAGTCTATTTTGGCGCGCGATGGCATGCGTTAAGGAAAATCACTGCGTAGCGCTGGTTCGACAATCAATAGGACTTTATCTTTCCGATTTCTTGCGTTTATTTACGATCCATACAATATCCGAACTTTCTACATTCAAACGATCTCGATCTTTCTGTTACAAAATAGTGATTCTATTTATCTGATACAGAATCACTATTTTGTAACAGAAAGATCGAGATTGTTTGAATCTAGAAAGTTCGGATATTGCATGGATCGTAAATAAACTACGTAAAACCAAGATTGAGATTAATTACTCGCGATTTACTAAAATCCTAAGCTATTTGTAGCGCTGTAGTTGTGTCTTCTGTCGTAATTATGTCCTCACACCTAATAACCAATAGAATGCGGTTTTACTTCTTCCAATAAAAGTGCGTTGTGATCTGTCTTCTGCGTGTCACTTCTCAACTAGGGGAGAAAAGCAAGGCAAAATTGTTAGAAGACCGTAAAGATTTCCTCGCTCGAAGTTTGAGAACTTCAAAAGGGGTACATTCTGTGAAATTCATCATCATTCATCATCCTTTACGTGGAATATATCCTACTGACATGCCGTAGCCATCTTTACCCCGATTTTCCAATTTGATCAGTGAATTCTAGAAAAACGGAGTAAATTCTGTGAAATTCATCCTTTATGTAATCCTTGGATTATATCCTTCTGACTTGCCATAACTATCTTTACCACGATTTTCGATTTGATCACTAGGTGAATTTGTCATAAACGAGATAAATTATGACAAACCACCCACAAGAGCAATACATCCTACAGTGATTTATAAACAGTACTAAAAAAAGAACACAAAACAACAACAACAAGTACATTGTTTACATTGACAATCCATAGTTTAGGAACCCATGTGTTATATCTTTAACAGCGACATCCAATGTTCAACATCAAAGTCCATTCGTCTGTTATTACAAGAGAACTGATTTTATTTAAACGCAGGAGACTTTGAGGAGGTCCCAGGATAAAATAGACCGACGAACTGTGGTTGCTGATTATTCACCCCTGTCTCTCGGTCGGTGGTTTTTGTTTAGGTAATTGAAAGAGAGGATGGAAAGCGAGCATGGCTCAGGGGATACCGTACTGGCTTTCATGTTATGTACGTGTTCATAAGTTTCACGTGAAGAATTTGGTTTTCAAATATCATTGTCTTTCTGATCAGCTTGATTCCACAGAGCGCTCTGTGACAGTATGAAACCACAGGCGGCCTCAGCAAGTACATGAGAAAAGGGCTTTTCTCATGTACGTAAAAAACCTCGAAATATGGGTTCCCTTCAACGTAGTAAGCAGTCAGATAACAAGCAATGCACTGTGGAAGTAAGGTGATGTTTTTTTGTGAGAATTTTACTTATTTTTTATTCCTTAGAGCGGTCGTAATCCTCATAATTTCTCCATGACTGTTATTTCGTAAGATTATTATCTCACAGCTGGAGCTTGGGCTGCCTGTGTATGAAATATGCGGCCAGCTGTAACAGCTAAAATCAGCGGAACCGCAATAAAATCACAATCTACTACTTCAACTTTTTTTCTAACGGAGGGTTAGAATATTCATATTAAACAACTGAAGGCCAAACTTCTGTGAATGACGCAGACAAATAATCACAACTGTGACCTCTCAGTCAATCTCACCTCCGGCAGATCAGGATGAAGCGTCAAAAATATATAATTTTATGTCGACGAACCATACTCTATGATCTTGAACTATTAAAGAAAATAAAACAATCGTGATATGACGCCCCATTGTGCTTTTGTCTTAGCTTGTGGGTAAAACGTTGTCATTGGAGTCGCAAGTCGAGCAATGAAGACTGTAAATAAAGCAAGACTGCAAATAAAGCGTGAACAATGCTTTGGTCGAAAATCGCTTTGTTATTTACGCGGCAAGTTCTTCTTTCACGTTTGGGTAATAACAACGATGCGATCACAGGGTGTTAACGAAGAAACTATAGAACCTCAAGGGAAGTAATGTGTGTGAGAGAGGCCAATGATCTGCGGATAGCAAGTTTTCCTGAAATCGGCAAGAGGTTGTTCATCCGTTGTTACCGGAAAATACTGGTCAAATTTTTTACTTATCCCGACCCCCTTCAATGAGTACTTTTGCTTGAAGACAGAACTACAACGGAGTCTCTCCGAACATTCTTGCTACAAGACTGCAATAACCGTGCTACGCTCAATTATATACACCTAAATCTTAAGTAACTCAACTGTCAACAAACCGCTTAATTACTAAATTAGAAAATAAAATATCACACCTATGCTTACAAAGATTGTTTCGAGGGAAACGAGGTGTTTGAGAGCGAATTTGGGTGGAGTGGGCGGGCACGCTTATTAAATAGCACAGCAGCAGGACAAAAATTAAAACAACAGATAACTCACAAAGAAAACTCTGCGAGCACATGGAGATAGAAATGAGTGGAATCAGGAGCCCATTACTTTGAGCTCCTGCTGGAATAGAAAAGAAAGAAATCCTCTGTGCCAAGAGAATATCATTCGATATTCTCTTGCCTTCACTGATTCCGCTGTCGTTGAAGCCTAAAAAAAGTTTGGATATTTGAAGCCTTTTTTCAGCTCTGTAATAGTTGGCGCAATGCATTTCCATATAAGATGACTCTGAATTAGAGCTAATAACAGACGTTGAGTGAACCAATCAGAGCTCTAGAAATGCAATATTTGGAGTTTGCATAGCCAGTTAAAACGCTCCTTCATCGCCATCCAATGTTTTAGTAATGCTAAATAATATTATCTGGAACAGTTTCAATTTTCCTCCATATTTTTTAACAGAAGCATGCAAATTCGACTTTGAAAATGGGCTCCATGGCTGGGAAAAGACTGGTACAGCTTTCAATAACCAGCCGACATACGGTGACAACCCTACAGCTCGGAATCGGGGACAACCTGCCAAACAGCAAGGGGATTGGTGGATTGGGGGTGCCGAGGACAGACCATCAAATGTGTCAAAGGCAGGACTACTGCAAGGTGACAGACCACAGGGAACCATCACTTCGCCACCCTTTAAAATCATGGGCAGTACCATTGCATTCCTCATCGGTGGAGGCTGTGATATAAACTCTGTTCGTGCTGAATTGATTGTCAATAACAAGGTAAGAATCATGAATGTAAATACTTTCGAATGAGTAAAACTAAAGAGAAAGAAGGAATCAGAAAAAAATTTTGAGAGAAAAGAGGCTGTGGGCGTTAGTCACCGTGATATGAAAAAGTGCAACGAGAACGTACTATAAATAATGGTAATAGTTGCGAGTGGAGTTTAATTCAGTCTGTAAACATACCCGTGATTAACAAAATGGGACGACTGCGAACGCCACTATTTCTCTCTTAGCTAGCGAATCATGTTAAGTTACGTGAAACAGATCCCGCATACTAAGTTTGTACCTTCAGTTTGTTGATTCTTTCCAAAGCGACTTTTCACCTAAAATTTCATACTTTTGCGGTTAAGATCGGGAAAAACAAAAACAAGATTGATATTATGAAAATTGTAAAGGACCCATTGCATAGATTAGAATTACACTTAAAAAGATAACTAAAGAGAAAATAGCCCTTAAATTTTTTTACATAACAACAGAAAAACAGAGAATTCGAGTGAGAAAGAGCGTACCCTAAGTACCGCCCCCAAAAGAACAACCAGCCGTTCATGTAAGTTGACTGATTATAAATTCAGTGCAGGAGATGAAAAGTATAAGTTGTTTACGCCTTTCGTCACCTTACAGAAAGAGGTGTTGAATGTGCTAAATTAAAAATTAACACGAAATTAATCTGGAAACGAGCCTGAAAAGAATCGGAAGTGTAAGAAGGAGGAATTTCTAGGAACCGATCAAATTACTCTCTTATTCATCAAGTGGATTATCATAAATGAAATACATCTTATAATTACCGAAAGATAATTGATATATTACCGCAAGCTCCAATCACCGTAGAGAGTGAACATCTGCTTTCATGTCAAACTCGCGATGGGAGAATACATATGCCATAATCAAACGGCTTAATGCAAACTTTTGTGAGGTTAAATGAATTTTTTTCTCCCAGAAAGAAACAATATAACAATTACTCTACTAACAAAGTAAGACCGCCATCGAAATAGGAAATTATCAACTGCTTACAATATTTTTTAACTGAATACCTTATGCTTATACGCACATTCCCAACACCAAGGTAAGAAAGCTCTTATAATGCTTCCAAATAAGATATGTTTTAAGTTTTTCGTTTAACATCTGATTGCAGCTGACTGGCCAATTACAACTGTAAAAAAATTATTAGTGAAAAATAAAGCAGCTAATGCACCAATTACATTTGAGGAAATGGTAATGGTTATGATTAAAAACTAAACGGCTGAAAAACGGCTTTTTCTTTGTTCTACCATTTAGCAAACACTTTAGCCTCCACATTATTAGAATAGCCTCGGTTGAACTAAGAGAATTCAGAGAGGAGACGGAGGAGATAGCGAACGCTTTTATAGAAACTAGAAACGTCTGTATTAATCTTGAGTTAAAAAGAGACATCTTTACAATCTATCCACGATGCACAGCCCTAGAGGGTTCCTTGTACAAATCTGTTATTTCCTCAAGTCTCATTTCCGGCCCTGTGACCGCGAGCTTTGGTATTCCAGCTGGTAAATCACTTTGTCCTTTGAAAAAAATTAAATTAAACCTTGCGCTACTAAGACGTTGATTTATGGCTGTTGACGCTCTGTCAAATCTCTTTTATAGTGCGGTGCGTCCCATGCACCTTACTGAGTGAGGATTACTTCACTGTTTATACTGCTCCATGGATGATTTTTTTTTTGGCTTTATTACTGGATATACATGTCACATGGATATACATGTTACTAATGCTTGTTCGCCAAATGAACTATTTGAAAGATGTAGAAAATTAATCACAATTTCTTTTTTTCCCGAGTGACTCTTGAGATTACATATTCTCTCAGTTGTTTTGATACTCCTTCGCTCGCTTTTTAGGTTGTGCGAAGAACAACCGGTAAGTGCCATGAAACAATGACCCGTCAATTCTGGTATGTTCGGGACTTTATTGGTCAACGTGCTCAAGTCAAATTGGTTGACTTCAGCTCTCGTGGATGGGGTCACATCAACTTTGACGATCTTGAAGGCGACATAACCTGCTCAAACCTGGAAAACACTGGTATTTATTTAGCTTAGGAGGTTTAAAATTCTAAGGTGAATATTATAGGATCAACCTGTGACAATTTTCAAGAAAACTTTTCTGGTATAAATCCATCTTGGAACTAGCTGGAGAAGTAAACTGTTTGGATCAGCTTTCATGAACGATGAAAACTGACTGAGTCAGGTATCCACGGATGATATGTAGTTATTGACAGAATGAGAGGGCTGCACGGGAAAACATTTGTCTGGGTGCACTCGGTCTGTTTGTCACAACCGAGAACCAAATAAGTGTTAATCATATGAACAGTAAGTCTGAAAATTTTGAGATTATGTTTGAACTTAAATAAGACGCGATTTCAAACAGAAGAACGACGAGCGCTTACCTAAAAGCATTTTAAAACGAAAGCTTTTTCCTTTATTTCCCCTAGTCAGAACAAGAAACTCACTCTTTAACAAAATACTCAACTTTTTCTTTCATTTCTGTTTTATTTTAAGTCTTTGAAACTGAGCCGTGCAGGTGCGGGGTCGGACGACTTTTCTGGACCGGCTTACGTTAGCCCATCCGGCCTTTCATAAATCAGGTTTAATTATACGCTTTTTTACAGGATTGCGTGGGCTGGGCTTTACGACTGATATCTTAAAAACCGATATCTCTAAAGAAAGCTGTGTGTTCGACTTCGAAGAAGGTATTGATGACTGGCATAGAACCGGTTCAGCGTTTGACAGCCAGCCGACATACGGTGACAACCCGACAGCTCGTAGGAGAGGACAGCATGCCAATCAACAAGGGAACTGGTGGATTGGAGGATACGAGAGGCGGCCTTCAAAATCGGCTCCTGCAGGATACGGACAAGGAGACGGGCTACAAGGGACTCTTACGACTCCATCATTCATCATCGGGGGAAAATACATTACATTCTTGATCGGTGGAGGTTGTAACATCAATTCCGTTCGCGCTGAACTGATTATTGATTATGAGGTATAATTCAACTAAAGATCATTCACTGAATCACCTGGTGTTAATGAAAGTTACTTTAAAACGTTTATTTGCTATCGATTTTTGTGACGGAAGGGATTCATTACTTCTGGACTTCAAGCTTTACTCAGGTTTAGAGTAATATATTAAGGAACTCGTTCAAGGGCGCATGTCAGTGGAAGAAACAATTGAAACTCGCAAAATACATCGTTGTTCTGTTTCAGGTTGTCAGAAAAGCGACCGGGGAGTGCCACGAGACAATGACCCGTAAATTCTGGGAAGTTGGAGATTTCATTGGCCGAACTGCGCAAGTCAAACTGGTGGACTTAAGCTCTGGAAGCTGGGGTCACATCAACTTTGATGATCTGAGAGGCGACATTACCTGTTCAGCCCCTGAAAACAGTGGTACTTATATTTCTGTTAGGTTTAAATCATTTAAACTTCGTTATCCTATGTGTGTCTATCGTGTGGCCACGCAGACTTCTAGACAGTATGAATGGTTAGACTAGAATCCGCTTGAAATGATGTACGAGGTTGGAGATACTCTATGCATTTTCTTGGTTGGTGAAACCTCTGTGTCACAGGAGACATGCGGCATTGATGCCTTGCATATATCGGAGACTAATTACAAAGTTACATATGCAAAGGTAAAATTTCTCGTGAACCGAACTCCGTTGGTTTTATAAAATTAGTCTCTTCTAGTTGTTAAGAGCGTCAAAGAGTATTAAGCTCAATTTAACACAAAAGTCAATTGAGTAATAACGGTAGGGAATGTTGTTCCTTTGGTTCATTCCACAGATATTCTTGACAAAGCATTATGCAGCTTTGACTTTGAAGAAGGACTTGATGGCTGGGTTAGGACTGGTACAGCATTTGACAACCAGCCGACCTATGGTGATAACCCTACAGCTCGGAACCAAAGACAACCTGCCAATCAACACGGGGACTGGTGGATTGGAGGATACGAGGACCGACCATCGAAGTGGGCCACAGCAGGACGAAGCCAGTTGGATGCACCACAGGGAACTCTTACGTCTCCAACATTTGACATACAGGGAAATTATATTTCGTTTCTGATTGGTGGAGGCTGTGACGTAGACGCCATTCGTGCTGAGTTAATAGTCGATGACAGAGTGAGTAAGACACTGAATTTGGATAATGTGGGGTTTACCTTGCAGGACTTGACAAAAAATAGGCTGGTGAGCCCAAGTAAGACCGCCAGATACCATAGTGGAGACATTTTCCTCCAATCATAGACAGAGTCGGGCGAGAGAATTCTGTTCATCAATAGTTCTTTAAGCTGCTTAAGAAATTCACAGCCCATGATAAATTCGACAACACCAGTAACTCTTTCTAGTTCAAATGTGTGCAAGGAATCCTTGCAGTTAAAAATACGTATGCGTTATTGATCAAGCGTGACGTCAAGATGGCTAGATATTGGCCGAGTTCTTTGTTTCTGTGTGTTTTTATGGATTGAGACGAAGTCGAGGTCCATAAAAACCCAAAACAAGAACTCGGCCAATATCCAGCCATCTTGACCTAACAAGCATGGTCAATAAAGGATTTACAATGTAGCAAAAAGATTTCGCAAAATGGGTAGCTAATAAAAACACAGCCATCTACCATCTTGGATGCCGATCCAGCCATATCCTTAGTTCATTTGTACCACTTGGTGCATAATTCTCTACTCTGATCGGCTGAGTGTGTGCCGTAATGCCCCTGTATACTACTAATGTTAGCAAATATATTGCAAAGTTTAAAAAGCTATGCCCTCCTCCTTATGTTTTTTCCTTAGCTGAGAGAATCACACAAAAAATACTTTTATCTCTTTCAGGTTGTCAGGAATGCAACTGGTAATTGCCACGAGACAATGACACGAAAATTCTGGCATGTTGGAGATCTTCTCGGTCATTTTGCACAAGTGCGTCTGGTCGATTTTAGCTCTGAAGGCTGGGGTCACATCAACTTTGACGATATGAAGGGCGACATAATTTGCACGGGCTCTAATGAAGACATTGACACTTTCCTTTAAGTTTTCGATTAGAAAATGAAAAACAGTCAGAGTATTCCATAAAACTTTATATGATAAATGGATTAAGTTCAAGCAATCAAGGTAAAAAGCTTTATTTTCACCTCTTTAGTTCCTGTTTGTAAACTTGCTTGTTTTTTTCCTTAGTATTTCTCTATTAGACAATGTATCAGGGTCGTAAATGTACTGGACTCCGCTGCACTATTACTGAGCTCAAAGCGGGGACGCCATGTTGGTGCCTATCCAAGTGGCCTCAACATGGCGGCCATGAAGTAACGTAATCATTTGTTACCTTTTTTGGCCCCTAAAGTCATTAGTTATCCACCGTGGATAAAAGCACATAGCGATCATTCAGCGATCATAGCGGCCGTGAAGTACCGTAATAATTTGTTGTCTTTTTTGGCCTCTCAAGTAATTAGTTACCATCGTGGATAAAAGCACATAGCAACCATTGCTTCGATCGCAGTTGTAGATTTTGAGTGAACCAGACAAAAGTCCTTTAAATGAACCAGTTCTGATATCAAGACAGCATATCCAACATAAGTTATCTTTATTCACTTTATGTACTACAGTAGTATTAACGTGGAAATTGTGTAATTGAGAACAATATAAAAAAAATGACTTTTTAGACAAGCACTGAAACATGTTTCTGTTTTTTTACAATTCAGTTGGTCAGTTACCATACTATTTTCAGGATTTTGAAATGTCGCCTTCGTATAAACGCCGCACTCAAATAATGAAAAATTTAATAAACGCTGTGGCGTTTAATCGAATAAATACGGTAATTCCCTGTGCAAAGCGAGCCAAAGAGAAATCTTCAAGCGCTAGACCAATGTTAATGCAGATCTTAGTTATTTATGTCTTACAGCACTGGAGGTTGTGCCCGTTCTTTATGAGATATTTATGTAATGCTTTCCTTCATCTCAGAAGCATTTCCATTGATAAACAAGTTTACCATGTACATTTCCTTGTGTGGCCTTCATAATTATCCAACCCTGTTTGGGTTTGCTTCGATTTGAAGTACTGAAAAGATAGTTTTGCAAGCTGAAATTAGGATCTTTTAAGTTGTACTCAAAATGATGAATATTGTCCTACTGACCTTTGAATGTATTTTCACTGCTGTGAAAACCGTGACACAAATTCTTCTGCTGTTTCTCTGCAGGGTTTCTCAAAGGAAGCACCAAGTGGGGCTGGCATGGATTCCCTTATAGAACATAAGGGTTGATTATGGGATCCTGTATAGAATTATTTGTATCGAACCAACAAAATTCCAAATCACGTTATTATACACTGACATCAACGAATTCTCTTTCTTTGATACGTGTTTCGAATTCAGGCAAAGGTTCAGACAGGTCAGTGTCTTTTATGAGCTCAGCGCTAGCTCCCGAACAACTGGCTTCCCCATAGTCTTTCATTAGATGAGAAAAAAGATGTTTTTGGAGAACCAATAAAGCTATTGTTGTTTAATTAACGAAACGTTTTCATTTAAATCGATTTTGTACTGTCTCTGTTAACCTCTAACTTTTGAAGAGCTCAACTTTTCTCAGTTCGGTCGGCCACTTCCGAATCCTCGTCGTCTACCGACTGTATGGGTCGTTTTTATACTTCCGAATAATTTGCTTCTGGTAGGGCCTGAATCGTCGGTACAGCACCAGGAAGAAAAATGACTGATACAAATAACAGAATGTTCGAACGGCTCGACGGAATCGGCTATTTTCACTTGAACAAATTTCACAAATTGTCGCTTCAAATTTGCGTCATTTGGAAATATTTGCATTGGATGCCCAGTTTTGTTTGAATCAGTAGAAAACTGGACGGCACAACGTTTTACCATTAGGAAAAAAATTAATATATTGAAGTCAACTGTAAGTAAAAAAATCATGACGAGACCGGCAAACAACGGCTGTGGAAAAGACTCCTTCGTGTCACGCGATTATAAAACAAGACTTCGGAGGTTCCACCCGTGACGTGACAGGAAAGATGGCGCCATTCAAGATGGCGAATGTTTCGAATTTGAAAGAGCTTTTACAAAGTGAAAATGGACTTTTGAGAAAAAAAGAATGGTACCTCCGGTGTACTTGATATATTTACTAAACATCTATGTGAAAAGAATATGAACGTTTTTTTGGGTTTACATGCCTTTTAACTTTATTCGTAGACAAAGAAATGACACGTGTAGATTAGTATTCCCTCCTTTTCGAGCGAATACCGTCACGCGAGTCAAAAAATTTAGGTGTTCGCATTCGACTCTAAGAATTTCGCGCAGCGCGTTAACACGAATCACTAATTCTTTTCTCTGGCGCGAAGAACTTCGCCGAAAAGCAGGGGCTGCTCGTAGTCTACCAATAGCTATGATGAATGCTTCTGGCGCCTCAGTCTGCTCTGGTTGTTTTAAAACCGAAATTAATATTTCTGCAGCTCATCAACCGTGACTAGACTCTAAAGTTGACAATACCTCGACAAATATCGCCGCTTTTTGACAGATTTCTGGACGATGGCCCATAAAACTTTCGCGTTGTGTGCGCCAAAGTTAAACTCTCTTTCTCTGCAGTCTATACTTTTCAATTTTTTTTTCACGGATTGTTCCTAACAAGGGCCTACTCGTAACGGGAGCCCTGAACCTCTCAGGAACGCCACTTCCATTTGTCACGAGCTGCTTACATTGTGACAAAAAAGCGGTATGCAAATATCTTTTCTCTGTTTTGATTTCCTATGATTAACTATCCACATGGCAATTCAGCCCTTTCTGAAAAAGTTCTTCTTGGTTCCTTGGTGGCAACTGCGAAAATCCAACGTTTCTCGCGCTTGATGATTATGAATTTTCGCTTAAGCTCTGAAATCGCTATGACACAGAATAATTCGAAGGCTAAATATTCATTTAACCACGACATATGGTGTAACGTCTGACAGAAAAAAACACGTTTGAATCAAACTACGTCAATGGCATGAGTCATCACATCAACTTATATTCACTTCGTGGAGATAACACTCTTCAAGACTAAAAACATCTCTCGTTATCATGGGTTATCGAATCTGTTTCTGTTTTATCGTTGCTCTTGTGACTCTTGATTCACTGAAGGGGTCATCAACAAAGAAGAAATGTGGGTTCACACAGGCGGGTTCAGTGAATTTCAATGTTTTGAACCTATGCTTAAAGAGCATACAGCAGACGCTGAAATCTTTGGACCAGCGACTACGTGCCCTGGAGAAACCAAAAGGTACAAATGCTTGTTTAAAACTGTTGGGTGTAGCTAGTTCCCAGAAAATAGAGCCTAAAGAATTTTAATCCAGATCAATTTCAAACTCGGGTCGGAAATTTCGGTCTTCTTGCTCAGAACTGTTTCTTATTCGCATCACGTTAATAAGAGTATTTTGAAAGAGAGTATTTTTGCTGTGGGTGTCCCCGTTCAGAGCTCAAGGTTAAAAGTTTAGATCCAGTTATAATTAAATTAGATTATCAGCTGGCATAGGAGCTCTGGTAAGTCACACTGAATTTGAAATTACAGATTTGCGGCCTAATGGCACCCGGTTCACCAGAGCTGCTGTAACTTTGAATCAGGGTTATTGCATAGTTTTGGCCAGATTTGGCAAATTATCAGAGTTATAACAGCTCTGTGCTGATCAAACAACCTAAAGTCGTTAAATTGCTACCGTCTCACAAAGTACCGTCTGAGCTTCAAACCGCATAATTCATCTGAAAAATTACTCATATTGTCGCGGCTCAAGACACGTCTATATAGCCTCTGAATTGCAAGAAGGAAGAAGCGCGAAGCAAGACTAAATCTTTACCTGATGATTTTAAACGTTCAGTTGTGTAGGAGGCATAAAGTAAACTGGAAGATAAATTGACTGAACTTGAAATCTCTTTATTATCCAAGTCAAAGCCTGCAAGTTCGACTTTGAACACGGAATAGGGGCCTGGGCTAAAACTGGTACAGTGTTCAATAACCAGCCGACCTACGGTGACAACTCTGCAGCTCGGTACCAAACACCTGCCAATCAGCAGGGGGACTGGTGGATTGGGGGATACAAGAACAGACCCTCTATATCTACCCCTGGATAGTACAGGGAGACAGGCCACAAGGAACTCTTACCTCTCCACCCTTCAAAATAAATGGCAAGAACGTCTCATTCCTGATCGGCGGAGGCTGTGATATCAAATTGATTCGAGCAGAGTTGATCATTGGTGCGAAGGTAAGAATGCATAGATAGTTGGAACGCTTTTAACTGACCACGCCGCTTTAATACCATTGCGAAGTTTTTTTTTAAATTTCTAAGGATAACAACCACAGAGGATTCTAAGATCTTCCAGGGGGAAATTTGCGAAGGTAATGGATTACTAAAATCTTGAGAATGAATCTGTGAAAAGGAGAGATATCAACAAAAAAAATTACAATTATCTTCGAATTAATTTTAGCGCAGTTTTCAGTCCTACCTTGAACAGATATCGCTGGCTTGTTCAGGTTGAAACTTGTCTTGAATGGTTATATAAACTGGATACGGAGACATTTCACTGTTTTTAAGCCTGATGGTTATCCATTTGCTCACGAAATTAAGAGAATGTCTCTGTAAGAGCGGTCCGGTCGATTTTGCTTGAGACACGGATTTCGCTCGTTTCTCGTGTGTTGAAAGACATTCATCTACCTATACTAAAACCGCAATCAGTTTGATCGGATCTCTTTATTTTTCAGAGTTTTACGGAAATTAAATTTTACAGTTAATAATCGTAAGTAATGTAATTCACTGGTGACTATAATGACACATTGTAGGAGATTTATCATCCTTTCTCCTTCATCTTAGCTCCACCTATCGTTTTCTAGGTGGTGAAACAAGTCACTGGAAAATGTCATGAGACCATGATTCGAAAATTCTGGGATGTTGGAGCTTACATTGGCAAAAGTGCACGCGTCAAACTGGTTGACTTCAGCTCCGGATCATGGGGTCATATAAATTTTGATGATCTTAAGGGCGACATAAGCTGCTAGTAACACTGTTTTCTCGAGCTTAGAGGAGTTCAAACGGAAAAGGGGGGAGTTATAAGGTAAATTGAGGGTTGTTAAACATCAATGTAGTCCTTTTAAAAATGTGGGAAATAAAATCATCTAACATGCTAAGTTTTTGTTTGTATTTCATGTTCTTACGATCTGTAGGATGGAAAAAGCAGCCATAATGCACACGCATTCATTTAAACATTATTGCAATGACACAGCATGATGTGTGAGGATAGTGTGTGTGTGTGTGTGTGTGTGTGTGATATTCCATCAATAGGAATGTGTAAACGGATGTAGCGACTATTTGCTCCTGCTCAATTTTCCACAAGAAAACTGATATTCCATCAAAGAAGTGTAGCCTTACTTCCTCTGTCATTTTATGACACCTACATGGGAGCTAAGCTGATCTTTCTTCCCTGTCCTTCCCAGAGCTTTCAAAACTTGTCTAGATAGATGCAATCTGCTGATCCAAATCGAAAGCCGAGTGCAAAGGAAAAATAGAAACGAGCTGCAAAATAAAAAAGTTCCACTGATGGCTTCTTCAATCTTTCAAGCATGTTAGTATGCATTAAGTTTTTTCCTCTTCACAACTTATGTCGCCTCCAAGAAGATCATAGTTGATATGACCCCATTCTTCCGAGCTGTTATCTACCAATCTAACACGGGCTCTTTGACCGATGAAATTCTGAACATCCCAGCTTTTAAGACGCATTGTCTCACTGCAATTTCCGGTCTCATTTCTGACTACCTGCAAAAAAAAAAGAAATAATATAGACACTACGTTTACATGTTACATATGACTCAGACAATTTCAGATTCGAAGGGAACATAAATGTATTAAATCACAGGTTGACTACATTTCAAACGAAACTGGTGCAAAAATAAACTAAATCATCATTGCGTCACGCACTTTCCAGTTTATTGTTTCACGTATTTTAATTCATTTATTATTTTTATTAAAATTATTATTATTAATTTCTTTTTTCTTTGGGGGGTGGGGGTGGGGTGGTAAGGAGGTGGAATGACTTTACTTTAGTCGGCCTGTAATTCATGTATTACCAGGATTTGGTGGATATGAGATAAATGAAGTTTATGTTTGCATTCCTTTTAGAAGTACTATAGATATTATGGGGGTTTTGCAACACAAACCACTACTCCACCTGATCATTAATAACTAACTCTGCTCTTATAGAGTCCATTCTGCAACCCCCACCAATCAGAAAGGTAATGTTGGGGCCAATGATTTTAAACAACGGAGATGTAAGGGTGCCACGTGGCCCGTCCCCTTGAATGCGCCCAGGGGTTGCAGCTTTAGAAGGTCTGTCCTCGTATCCTCCAATCCACCAATCCCCTTGCTGTTTGGCAGGTTCTCGCTTCCGAGCTGTAGGGTTGTCACCGTAGGTCGGCTGGTTATTGAATGTTGTACCAGTCTTTTCCCAGCCATCTTTTCCATCTTCGAAATCGAACTTACAAGCTTTAAAAAAGAGAGATTGAGAAACGAAAGCAGTTACAGCGGTTTTTTTTTTCAAAAAAGAGAAAATGATTGACTGATAAAGCTTAGGTAATGTAAAAATGCTATGACGCAATTCGTTCCGCGCTAATCTTTCGACATGTTTTGAACAAAGGCCATTCCTGAGAGAATAAGATACTGGATATCAATTTAAACCTGATAAAAATTATGCAACAAGACATTTCCTCTACAATTTTCGGCTCGAAATCTTCCGTCTCGCGAGATATAAATAAAGAAATGTAAAATGGTTTCCGTGTTTACATCAGGCTATGTAAACACGGAAACCATTTTACATTTCTTTTATAAAATAACTAATGAAAGAGGAACGAAAACTGTGTTTACATACGCTCATGTAAAATGGTTTTATGGCCAATCAGAGCGCGCGTACTATTTGAATTATTTTATAATTATACATGTTCCTCGCGAGTTGCTGAAATGTTTTGGTGGAAGCTCATCTTGTGATTTTAATCCCAACGGTAAACTTCCATTACTCCTCAACAAGGTTTCATTGTATAACAGAATGGCAGGGACATGGGAGTTCTCCTCGTTGAAACATTTTTCTGCCGTTGATTAAGGTGAATCTGCTAATAACAAATCGTGGTACATCATAATCTGACCATAAGCCTTTACACACCTCATGTTTGTTTCATGGACTTTCCCCTCGTCCACACTTTACGCCACTATTAGAAATGATTTCAAAATGCAGGAAAGCGTGTGATATACAAAGCGTCTGCTTTAACTATAACTAGTCATTACTCTGGAGGTTTTGCAAAGGCATAGCAATAATTCTTCAGACCCTGTTTCTAAAAATAAAATGAAAGGTTTGACCACTAAACTTGAAGGCTTACATCAGAGATGGAGTCACTTGGTAGTGGTTTTTCTATAAGGAGTGCATATCTAACCATTGAGATTATGAATTAGTATACAGGTGACCTCGGAGTACATGTAGAAGTAGTGTTCGTTGAAAACAATTTTCTTATTTTGTCTAATAAGTTAGCACCTTGGCAGCGTGTTCCAGCAAATCCCGCCTTGCAAACACAATGGAAAGAAAGCCCTGCACCATCTTGAACACAGATCCCATTGTTCAGACATGGCTTGCTATGGCATGGAAACTGTAAGTATAAATAACGACAAGGAGAAAGGATTAAAAGGATTACATACACGTGTATTTCTGTACCATAAAAAAGGTTACTATCAGAATTAAATTGGCGAAGTTGCAATTTATAATGAAATAACAAAGACACTGAATAACACCGTCTTTCACCTAAATCAGTTTCAGGCAGTGAACATTTACCATCCTCATTCACATCCTCATTGCACAAAAGCATCACACATCGATATTTTTATCTTGGCTGCATGCACGAGGTTTGTCATCATGAATCTAGTTCAACAACTCAGCCTATCACGAATCTCCTACAACTCAGTGGTAGAGGGTTCGAAAACTGCTTGAAAGGTCGTAAGTGCGAGTCCTACAAGAGTTTGTTTCTTTTCCAAGTACGCCTGTGTCATTCACTAAAAAACATCCTATGTTCAATTGATTTCTCTTTTTAAAATTTGTAATCGACTTTAGAGATTTTGGGAGACCATGGTCTCTTCATTTCAAAAGGTAGGTCGCTCTGGAAGTTTCACTGAAAAACTGTAAAGAGGTGTCGTTTCCAAAACGACATTATGGTTAGGTGGTGGGTTTACCCAGCAGGGGACCGAGGGTTTTATTGTATGCCCACCTGTCTCAGAGCGAATTTTGTAAATAAAATAAAGAAATATATAAGGAATACATACTTGTAACTTTATCGATTGATTTAGTTTTATAATATATTGTTACTTTACAAGTACTCAATATAAAATCCATGCACTTGTACAAGTCTACGGTTATCAAAATGTCTAAGATTTTTTTTTTTTATCATAATTATAAAAGCTCTTTAATGTTTTCGCAGTCATGGCAATCAACAACTTTAATAATGCCAAGAGAAATGCAGAACCTACAAGTTGCTTTTTCAAAAAGGCGAGTTACTTCAACTAAGAAAAAAGCGTATAATGTATCAACACTTGAGAACAATTTTGAAAGTTCCCTGACACATTGATGAGTTCAGAAATTTTGGCGGAAATCAAACGAATATTTCCTTCAGAACTAATGACAAATTCTTTCGTTTTTCAGCATCAGTTTTCTGTCGAATGTGTTATCCTCTATCCCTAGGATCGATTAAAATTTCAAATCTCCTTAAGGCTCATTATACAGGTCCTATAATGTTAGTTCTTGACTCAAACAATATTTCTTAGTTGATGTATGTCTTCATTCTCATTACCCGTTTGCCTGATAGCGTGTTGTTATTGTGATTCGAAATCATATATCGGTTACCCTTAGATCTGAACGCTAAGGCCAGCTGTCAGCCAATAGACTTATAAAAATAGGCTACAAATCAAATTGTTTATCATGCAAATTTCTACTGCTATCAATATTCCTCGCCTTCTTATTGCTAAACACAGGAAATATTATCTTTTAAAGAAAGTAACGTTGGTTATTTTCATCAAAGGAGAAACCAGAAAAGTAAAAATTTTGCCGAAGATGATTAAAGGGATGATGTGTCTTGCCAATAATTCTATATCTCTATATAATTAATACTTTTGTTGAAACAAGGAATATCAATATTTCATTTCCATGACATATGAATTCTACATAAACCTATGTGGTAAAACAAATATTTGGTAATGATAGAAGCCAAGGCATATTGATAGAGGGTGAAAGTTTACAGTAATTATTATCAAATCGATTCTAGAAGATGAGGAACAGGAAATAAAGGATTGAATTAAACATTTTTGAATGCAGCAAAGCAGAAAGCCTGGAGCGAAAAGTCAAACAATAGAAAAAGAAGAAAGTGGTGGCTTGGAATCAAAATAAACGCTTTTCTCCCTTCAATTAAATTCAGTAATTCCCAGAGTGATTTGCATGAGTTAGGTTTGAATGAATTTATCCCAATATGCATTTTTTTGGTAAAGAAAGAGCTATTTCTTTAAGCGGACGTTTTGAGCTTCGTTTGAGACGAACCGAAATTAAGCAGTCATGTATAATTGATAAAAAAAAGTAATTACCCTCTGCGGGTGTTTGTCGTTTCTATAGCTCACAGCATCAGCAATTCTAGCTTTGCGTGAACTGCCCTAAATGTTTATGGTTCAGATATAGTTCGCCTTGCCTGTTCTCCCTAAGAATTCTCTTAAAGCAATGAATTAATCATTTTTGCTGCTACATCGTGTCGAACATATCTGTTTTGAAACCCAGCTTGCGAAGTAACTTACTCTTTGCAAAAATCCCTAAACGTTTGTTTGTAATATCTAATTTTTTTCTATCATCGAAAATAGTTTTCTTGGAGACTGTTACCTTTACCAGTAGGGAGAAAGTAACTCCATCCTCTTCGCGTAAACTCGTGCTTTCGAAAATGGAAGAAAAACTCTGCTTGTTCAGTCCACAGGTTCCGGTTTTTCCACTTTGTTCAGGCGCTTTGAAATTCGTAGAAGTACACCATTCTCTCCTTAAGCACTTTTGGTTGCATAATAACAAGCTAGCGGACTGAAAACGTTCAACAACGTAGCCATGAAGTCGGTTATTATTCATTGTCATGAAGTAGGCTGAACGAGAGAATACGGAAGATTTTTGGTTTGGAGATACTTCGCCACTTGTCTCTCTTTGAAAGACTATGAGAATTATTGCTTGTAGAGCCTTCCTCAGCATGGTCAATAGTCACCCCAGTTTGTATATGCCTTTAAGAAACCTGTTACACCTTGAGATGGTTTTGTTTTCACTTTCTATTTGCGGAAATAGAAAAAAAAAATTGCATGGTCTTTGCAAATGCTAAATTGAAATCGAGAAGCACTCGGCTGAATAACACTCCTACACTTCCCCGCCGTCAAACTCAACAACTACGCATGTCTAGTTTGGTTATATTCGATTTTTTTACTTGCGAGACAAAAGCTAATTGACGAAAAAAAAAAATTATAGTATCAATAGGACAGAATGGCTGATTATCCCTCAGGCTTGCTCAGAAATCGCAATCGGCCATGGTTCCCGCGTGAGTCAGCCAAGGACACCACCTGCCAACCCGTTTGAGTGGTGATTTTCATTAGCAAGCCCTATCTGAATTTTGATTTTAACAAGCAATTCAGCAATGGAGATCATCTCAAGACTTGGCTGAACTCGCCTAATTGCGGACTAAAGCTTAATATCAAGTGCATCCTACGCGAAACCAAATTCAAGAGGCATTCTAAGGAATGAACAAAATGTTAACTACAGCCGAGCCAAATGGATCAGAGGGCGCCGGAGCTTATATGCCAAGAGGCAGTGTGAAAATAAAGTGACTTGTAAAAGATACCCGGCCATTGCTCGTACCGGGACCTCTGAATCCGAAGTCCAGCGCATCAACTGGACGTCTATCGTTTTTGGGGGGAGGGGAGGTGAGATAATTTTTTTTTTTTATCGTAAATTATCAGCATTTATTAAGTCCTAATTAGTTGATTAAACATTCTCATTGGATGCTATTTGTTGGGCAGCTGTTACCGTCAAAAATACATTCATTGTAAATGGTTTAGAATAAACAGAATTGGTGTCATCATCATTTGTAGAACGAAATATACAATATGAAAAGGTGTAGTTAAAACACAAATGGACAACTCCTCTGAAATCGAATGAAATATGGAAAAAAAAACCAAATAGTTGAGTCAGTTCAGAAACTGGTACACTTTCCTTGGTCGAACTGGTTTGATAAAATCACGAATAGTCAAACAACAAAAACAACAACAGACAAACAAACAAACAAAACAGAAACAAACAAACAAACAAAAGAAAACCAGCTGTGTGTTTGATCTTATATGCCAAAGCAGCTGAATTATGTTCTTTCAGTTTGCTTATTTTTCTGTTGTTTTGTTTGTGTTTGTTTGTTTGTTTGTTTTTTTATTTTTTGAAGGTAAGCGAATGTTTCTACGAAACTAATTATAGAGAAATTATGATGAACAAAAACCAAAAGACCTATCGGCCGCTGAGAATTCATCGATCGCTCCCATATTTTTTGTTTCAATACACCAAAACGTTTGCAAATCTCCACAACACCTCTAGATGTGCTTAAAATCTAAAAATTGCATGAAATATCTGCTTCACTAATTGCAAACCTTTGATTTGACACGTCTCTACCCATATTAATGCCAAGTAAGGCTAATTTAATCGATTACATGAACAAAATCAGACATAAAATCAGAAAAAAAAATGCCCGTAACAGCTACGGTTGTACGTACATTGGAAGGCATGATTGAGGTTATCTGATAGCGGAAAACTACTCTAAACTTGCATCAAAACTGAAATGAAAAACCTAAAACCGTACTACTGAAACCGAAAGACCGACAATTTTGAGTGCTACAACCAGAAAACCGAAAAGCACAATGTTCCAATCGTATGAGCTAGGGGGAACGAAAAGGTTACTCTTAATTCCATTTTGTAGATGAAATTTGAAATAAGGATTAGTCTTTCTTCACAGCCTTTATGTATAGTCCGTACCTCTTCAGAGTTCCTCTCTAATCATCGATCGTCGATCCAACCGTCCAACAACATATTTGGTGTCGTGACATCTATGAAACTGAGGGAGAGGGAATGCATTTCAACTGCAGTGATATTCGACAGCATAGCGCCGGTTTTTGACAAAACGCCATATTAAATGGCAAAGTTCAAATTTGCTATTTGGCATTTAATTACATACCTGTTTTGCTACAACGCATTATTTATCACTTCAACCATTTTCGCTCGCTATGCACCCTAATTTCATCTCATTTACGTTGCGCAAATTACTGTCTGGGTACCCCGGTAGGGAGAGTGATGTCATTTTATTGGTCACGACATGTGCAGATAAAAACAAAGTGGGTCCCTCTAGTTTATCGAGGAGGCACTATTGTTTATCTCGCCTTCCATCAACGTGTAACATCATCACAAGATGAGGTCTCATATTACTTGCACGCCAACATGACCTAGAGGCATTAAATTTATATTATACCGATAATGGCTGGGCTTTCGGTTTCCACTGCCAAACGAAGCGGTAAAGATTTTCCTGATCAAGTTCTCAGCTCGGACGATTTGGAAGAAATCCGTCGAACTTGGGACGAGGAAGAGAGCGAGGTGGAAGAATTTGTAAACGATTCCAAAGGTCGTCGTCAAAATCTCTCCTCGTTGATTTCGGGAAACGCGAGTGCTTCCTCAAGCCATGGAGTGCCAACGTACTCTTTGCACTCAGTGCAAGTGGCAAAGAGTCTCTGTCTGTTTGTTTGCTTTTTCGGATTGGTGAGCTTGTAGTTATGAATATAGTTAGTGATACTGTATAAAATAGTTTAACCGAAGACTGCTGACGTGTGATCCCTTTCGAGTCCACAGAATTTACTCGTAGGAGAGCGCTTTGTGCACAGGCAACCTAATTGACATTAGCTACTGATCCAGACAAACAGATCCTTGGGCTTATCTGATTCCTCCCAAAGAAATTTTGTCTACTCAGCAAAGTTGATTATAAAAGATTGAAACAAAAAGCAAAAAGATTAAATATACAGATAAATCAATGAATGAATTTTACCATGGTTTGGTACATGCAAATGCTGCACTCTCTATTCTAGTCATGGTAGTTTGCCTCAGTAAGAGATACTGTGATCCACAAGTTAGATGGCTGGACTGCTACTGATTTGCTTGAATTTGAGGTCCAGACTGGGTCAATTGAAACATGCATTCTACTGTCACTATGCCTGTCTGTACCCCAAGTGAGGAAAAGGGGCTAATGCTTCTCTTCACACAGGGGGAGAAGTAACTGGATGAGCATAACAGTTCTGTTTTTTTCTCAACAGGGAATATCTGTGGCCATTTTGGGACCCACTTTGATAGAACTAGCATGTCAAGCTCAAACAGAGTTGGAAAAAATGTCATTTGTGTTCACTGCTCGGGCCATTGGCTATCTGATAGGAAGCATTGTGGGTGGTTGGTTATTTGACAGGTATAATGGGCATTTGGTTTTGTCCTTATCATGTGTTTGGGCAGCAGTGATGATGTGGGCTCTGCCTTACGTTACCAGCCTTACTGGTCTTCTTCTTGTCGTGGTACTTATGGGCTTAGCCCTTGGATCAGTGGACACTGGTATGTAAACATTTTTGATTCATAATACTGTAATGATTTGATGTAGTGCCCTAGTTCCAATGAGTGTTCCCTCCCTAATAAGGGCCCCTATTTTAATAAGTACCCTTACTGAGTATTAAGTACCCTCATTCCATTAAATGCCTCCAATCTGTTTCAGTGATAGCACCACTAGAAACCTGCACATTTTGAGTTCAAACATGGTTTATCTTCCTTTAATTGCTTACAAAAGCCACTGACCATAAATATTGAGAATCTGCCCTTAGTTGCATGAACCTTTTTCAAAAAGTGTTCCAAAAAGTCCTAATTTGCTTTGCTTACTGCAAAAAATTGAGGAGTTCAAAATATGCCTATTGACGGCCATTGTCCTCACTGTAAAACAGTGAAAAATCATGCAACTTTGGTAACTTTGTATGACACAATGCAAGGCATTGCTGCTTTCAAATGGTTATTATTTTCTTTGTAAAAATATAAATCTATTGTCATGTTCTTACCTTTTAAGTCTTCATATTGACCTCTTGAAATAATGGACTTGGTTTCATTTTTGTAAAGGTAAAATGAAGGTCAAGTTTGTAGGCCTATGGTAAGGTCTGCCATATGTATTTACAAATCATAATATATATTATCCTAAAGCTTTATCCTTGTGGTTTAATTCCTCAAATTCCCTTTCTTGACCTGCCATAAACAACATGTCCACTGGTTGAAAAGAGTTTGGGCTATAATAACAAAAATGCAATGCGAAAGGCACTGAACAGCGGTCACAGTCTATTTAAAGGCCATTCCTAAAACCTCATTACCAAAACAGTGGCCTTTATCTCAGTCTTAACTATTATGTCTGTGTGAGTGCACAGTTTCTTCATTGGAATGATCTAATCTGAATATCTTGCAACAATTGCATGGCTGGTTGTTATTAAGCCAGGAAGGATCCAGGGACAAAAGATCCTTTTGAAACAAACATAAACTAGCTTTGTTGTACACATTGTGTCATTTCTCAAAAAAGAAATAGGTGCCCTGTCCATAATGAGCACTGTGTTGCAAACAAGCACCCAACCCTTTAGGTACCAAAAACAAATAAGTGCTCTGGGTGCTAAATCAAATCATTATGGTATTCATTTATTTTTAAACTATTTTTGAATGGTGCGCAAGTCATTGAGACCTGCATGCATGAGGGAGAAGTGAGTTTTTTTTAACTCATGCTATTTTGTGCTCCAATGGAGTCCTGAAACTCTCAAATTGAGTAGAAATAATGCATTTTTTGCCCTTTTTGGGCCAAATGGCAATAAAATGTATCCTGCTCTTACTCTTGTTACCCTTGAAAATTCTGTTTAATCCAGCCATCATGAGTTATTTATTCTTGACTTAACACTTTGAGCCCTAAGAGTGACTAGCATCTAATTTGTCCTTATAATATCACCATTAATTCATACATTAAGGTCACGATAAGAAAGGAAATAATCACCAAATAACAAAACTCTTGATTGGTACACAAATTCTCCTTATCAGCTCCTTAGGAAATGTATAGAGAACAGTTTGGAGAATATGCATACTGATGTTAGGGTGTAAAGGGTTAACTATTTGAATTTTACTGTGTCCCACAGTGGCCCTACCTTTTTTAAGTTTCA